AAATCTACTAATCCAAACAAAGGCTAAGGTTGCATCTCTACATTGGCTTGTTGCACTTAAGAAAATTAATTTTTTGAGTATTAACCCTAGGACTTGACTCTTAGATCTTATCTATAAAATGAAACTTGCTTACCAGTTAATATGATACTTAGAGTTACCATGCTAATTAATTAGTGTTTTGGTTTAGATTGCTGAGAGGACCCATCCTTGGATGAAGTTGGTATGACCAGCCATGCTTTTCGGAACAGATTAACCTTCAGCCTGAACATAGTGGTGGTACCTGATGCCACAATAAAATCTAATTAGTTTACTAATTTATTCCACTTCATATTTTATGATTAACTTATTCATCAAATTGTACACAAATTTTGAAGTACCCCAGTTGTAAGACAGGTTCAGGATCACAGTCCATAGAGTTGGGGTAATGTGGATGGATAGGGAAGTTTGCTACTTCCAACTGTTGCACGAACTCCATAAGCCTTGGATTGTTTTGAAACTATGTCCTTCTGCATTAAGCTGGAATGGAAAACTCAAAACATATAGAAGTAAGAAAACAATATTGAGTCATTACAGTCACAAATATTTGGAGATTTTGAACTGTGAATTTCACAGCTTGTTAAGATTGCCAAGCTGATGCTCCTGACAAAGAATGTTAGGAAATATTATAATCACTTTTAAAACCAAAACTGAGTTATAATAATTTTGAATGTAAGATAGTTATAGTACAATTAAGTACTTCCTCAAATGATATCTTTCTTTCTTTTATCATAATCTGTGTCTGTAGTGAATAGATACTTAACATGCATGAAGCAAAATGCTTGTAAAACCAATGTACTATTATATATCGATTTTTCGTAATGAAAGACATGGGGCTAGATGGTAGTGATATACCTTCCTTTGTCTGGCAAATGCAAGAGCTCCCTCAAGCTGTTTCTCAAGATTTTGCAGCTCTTTCACACCAAGTCCTCCAAGATCTTCTCCAAGCAAATGCCTGAATATATATATAGAGCATATATTATCAATTAGTTAAAAGTACAAATAATTAAAAGGAAAGCTGAATTAATCCAACCAATATATGCATGACATATAGCCACAATATAACCTTCGAGTAAGTTGCAGAGTTTTGTATTTAGCCTTTAATTTAGTAATCTCCTCATACTTGTTCTGCAACTGATAATATATTAGAGACAAAACTTGGTGGGGAGAGAAAAATCCACCAAATTATTGAATTCTAAAAGGCCTTGATCACTTTGCTAGGGGCAAAATATGTAAAAGGAAAATAATCGGTATATCCTCCAATTCAACATACCAACCAACATCCATCTATTCAGCTAACAATTCGGTATATCCTCCAATTCAACATACCAACCAACATCCATCTATTCAGCTAACAATTCGGTATATCCTCCAATTCAACATACCAACCAATATCCATCTATTCAGTTAACCATTAAAATCTACAATTTAAATTTTTTCTATCTTTAATTTAAAATTTGAAATAATAAGATTTTAATAACTGTGTTATAGAATGTGTTGAATTAGAGGGTGTATTATTCATTGTCTAATTATTTTTTCATGGTCACTAAAAAAGGGTAATTAATAGTACTCAACATGAACATGCTTGTCCAACACACAAAATATGCAAATTAGGCTGCTAATAAGTGCAGAAGTTTGTGCAGGAAATTAAGTTCTGATTCAGAAAATACCTATGTTTCAGGTCCGCTGCTGTTGTCTTGAGTGAAGCTACAATGTTGGTACCGTTCCAGGGTTTTGGTTATATATGCTGCAATATCAAATTAAATATATACATGTGTATACCAACCATTTCCATCCAATAAATGGAAAACAACCACTCTAAGCTAAAGTCAATCTGATTGAATATCTATATGTTTGTGATGTGCTCTAGTTGCATCAAGAGGCTTAATTAAGTAAAGCATACACGCAAGAACAATTAATTTAGAGAAATTCTTTAGCCCAAAGGCTGAACCTTTTGATCTGATTTTTAGGAGAATTTAAACAAGAGAAAATACAAACCCAAAGGAATTTCAAGTACACAATCTGCATTTTCAACA